TTACCAATTTTCCAAATGTAAGGAGTTCTACTCAGCATTTTCCTAAGAACTGCTACTTTGTGGAGCATATTCCCATATGAATGCTCCACTAAATACAACAATGTTAACCTCTTCAAGCCAAAGTTCAGTTGTTATCTATCCTCCTTATCTTCATGATCTTCACTTCCTACTACCTCCTCTTTCATCTATATCACACACCTTATTTATTTTAACTATTTTAACATTAACCCTCTACCATGGGTGGCTCTTAAGCCTTAAATTGAGTGAAGAAAACTCCAGTTCAAGTGAAATAACTGACTGCAAGCAAAGTTCTGGAATATTAAATATCATTTGAAAAAGAATTCTGTTTTGGGTTTGGGCAAAAATGGGTATCTGTTCTTTTTTTTTAATCAGTTTCACCCTATGCAAGGCAGTAAAACCACTAAGACACAAGGGGTTTACTGGGTGCAGAAGATTAGAAACAGAAACATTACTAATGTGCGGTAAGATAAAAGAGTAATCTGGAGGACAGTAGATAGCGATTGACATTGCATTTAAATTTTTGAAGATTAAAGTTAGCTGGAAAGCATGGAGACGGAAGAGAATTTGAAGAGTCTAGACTCCATAGCAAAGAGCTTATTCGAACAATTACCATGAATGTATTTATAGAAAAAGCACAGGGAGGCAACCTTATGGAAAGTGACTGAAGTCGAGGATTGATAATATTGTTTATTCTTCTTTGGATTTTATCAAGGAGTTCAAGATAAATAGCAGGAGCACTGGACCATATGTGGCAGCAATATTCTAAGCATAGACAAATGGTAGACTTAGATATGTATGATAGATTCTGGAGAGAAAAATTGTCTTGCATGACACAGAGAACCAACTTTACATTAAAATGTTTGCATCATTCACATTTTGCCTAAGTAAAATCTGTAAAGTTTAAGCAGTATATTGAGAAAAGAAGATATTTTTGTCAAAAAAATACAAATGTAGAAATCATCCTGGAAAGCTGAAAAACAAAATCTAAAAATTCTATCGATGACGTAAGCAATGAGGAAATTTTAACGAAAATGGCAACAAAAAGAATTAGAGAAAGATGTTGAAATTCCTTAGATGCATAATGAGGAAGGAGGGCTTGGAAAGTTTAAACCTCAAAGGGCATAATGAGTGCAAGAGAAGAGGAAGACAGTGAGCCACTTATCTGATAAGCTTGTGTGAATGGATGGAGGAATGGTAGGGGGCCTTAGCAAAAGAAGATAACTTACTTGTAGCCACAAGGGATAGGTAGTTGTGGAGAGTCATGATTGTCTATGTTCTGAAGGGACATAGTTCATGGGAGAAGAAGAAGAAAAGTAATTCAGTACCAATCTTTTTGATTTATTAAATATAGATCTGAAGTTGCAGAAATTAAACTTTCTCCCTGATACTTTTTCTTCTTTTAAGTGCTATGTTCCTTCAGGACATAAGCAATCATGGTTCTCCACAACTTCCTGTCTTTTGTGGCTTTAAGTACATCTTAACCCATTAACACCTCCTTTGTCCTTTCACTGTGCAGTCATTCATACACACAAGCTTGTTAAGTAGGTTATTTGGTATTTCCACTTGCTTCTCTTGCCTTCAATATGTCCTGTGAATGTTAAATTTTCCAGGTCTCTTTCTTTATTATGTATTGCAGAAATTTCAACTGTCTCTTTCCAGTTGTCAGCAACAGTTTCCTTGTAGTTCCTATTTTCCTGAAAGCTTCCTTGTTGATCACATTTTTTGTCCATGGTAGAGTTTTTGTATACAAACAATATTTGCAACTATTTTTAAAAAAAAGATATATATGTATTAAGGACATTTTTTTAAAGTTTTCACCCTGTATTAATGAGCTATTTTAAAAGAATTTAAATAAACCTTAATTTTTTGAAGGCTACTAAATTCTTAAATATTTTATTCACTGATGTAATTCAAAAATAGAACAATATGGATTCCCCAAAGACTAAAAACATGTTGCTGAAAAGCAAATATTAGTCAAAATAACATGCAGAGGATAAAATGAAAACAAATTGTGATGCTCAGTTATGGATGATATATAATTAACATATTTTTGGAACATGTTAAGAGATCGTGTCAGCTAATAGGGAGATGTGATTAAATATACTTAAATGTTTAAAAAAATTTATTCAGTATTATTATTGTTCAGGTAATAAGCATTATAAACATAGCACAAATAGCTATATTGTGGAAAAAGGAATTTTCAACAACATACACATTTTTTACACATTTGTTGGACTGGTAACCATACACTTGTTATAATTCCAGTGTTTTGGATGTTGTATTGTTCAGCTTTCTTCAGATGCGAGTCATATTGTTAAATTTCTGTGAATTTTGAAGTGAACTCTTCTTTCGATCCATTGTTCTTATTCAGCTGTCCATATTAAGGCTATCTTGTATCATGGAATTTGTTCTTGTGATACAAACATTTTTTCTCTTTTCATTAAAGCAGAGTATATGACTTTTCATTGCTTGACTGACAGATTGAATGCACAGTCACCAAATTACTAGCTGTACTTTATTTTTATCTTATTGATAATTAGGTAATTAAGTTTTAGAACCTTAAACCCTAATGTCTGTTCTTTCCTAATCATGACCATAAGGATTGTTCTTACAACAATAACATATCACATGGAAACATGTTCTTGTACAATCATTGAAGTTAAGCAACCTTGAGCCTGGTCAGTATCTACATGAGTGACCGCTGAGGAATAGAAGGTGCTGTAATCTTGGATGTACAGGTGGTGTAATGGATAACAGCTTGAAATTAGAAATAGCAGAGCCAAGTTCCAATTCCTGTTGGGGTTGTTATGTGTAAATACCCTCAGATATCAATCCACCTCTTCTCTCTCCAGCTATAGGTTAATTAGTAGGTCTTATATCAGTAAATTATTATTATCTCTAAAAGATTCTTACAATCTAAAAATATTTTCTGGCTTTAAATAACCTGCAAAAGGTTGATAAGTCATAAAAAAACAATTCAATACAACAATGCAGATACATTGTATTTTGGTTGGGAGACATATGATACTGTGCCAACGTTACTGTAATATTGCAATCAACTCTTTTTCTGAACCTGAAACTGGTCACCAATCCATAATGTTGCCACCAGGTTATGATAATATTTCGAAGTGTTGTAGCTGAATAATTCAGAATACTTTTTCTTCACTTAACAATATATATGAAAGATATGAAATTTCTTTTTGTTGAGAATTACTGGTTATTTATTGACTATTTTCTGTTAATATAATGTTTGGGAAGTCTAAAGAAAAAAAAAGAAAATCCTTTTGCAATTTCTATGCAACATTGCTGAAAGACTGAAGCAATCATTTTGTTAGCTCCATGGGTACCAAATACAATAGACAGCTGAAGAAGGTTGGAAAATGCAATGACTGAAATATTATCTGTCTATATTTCTGAGATGAGGTATTGTAATTATATACACTATTTACTGTTGTCCTTATATTTGTTGCCATGTTCACAACGTTTCGACAGCTGTATGCTCTGGCCTTCTTCAGGTAGTTTGAATTTCGAACTGAACCCTTTATTTTGTCCACCGGGGTAGATTGTTCTAGTTCCACATGCCATGCCTCTTCTAGATGTCTCAGTTACTTCCCTTTAACTCAACTCTCCAAGTTTTTGTTCACAACTGCAGTAGCCAGGTATTGAACTCACAATTCTTTGGGTCACTGGATCCAATCAACGCTTTTATCTACTGGGCCACTCCTTAAGTCTGAAACATTGTAATTTTAAGAACAATTATGATACTAGTAGGACTAAATTGATGTACAGAGTGTGGCACAAATACCTACGTCATATCATCATCATCTCTGTGCCATGTCTCTTTAGGATATAGGCGATCACAGCTCTCCACGATTTCCTATTGTTTGTAGCTCTTAGTAAATTCTGTCTTTGTCATCTCTCCTAAATCTTATTCTGCCATTCATTTACTCCAGCTCCCTATGTAGATTATGCATTGTTTCCTCTGTCCTTGTTGCCTTCAATTTGTCCTGTGAGTATCAGATTTTCCAATCCCTCTTTCCTTATGTGCTCTAGAAATTTCACTTGTCTTTTCCTGATGTTAAGTATAAGTTTTGTTTCCATTTTCTCTAAAACCTCATCATAGCTCACATGTTCGAGCTATGGTTTCCTCAGCATCCTCCTGTAGAACCACATTTCTGGTGCCTCAAGTCTCTTTTTCCTCCATGAGGAGATTGTCCAGCATTCACTGCCATACAGGAGAACTGATATTACATAACAGCTCTGTTGTAGCATACCTACGGACGATAATAGTTATGTCCCCATTTACATAAGTACAGTAGTAAATACTGTATGTTGGTCTGCAGTTGGAGATTCATTGTGGAATTCACTTGACTCACTTTTAGCAGTTGACTACTTCACTACTGGCAAATCTTATACGTATTGTTCTTGTCCTAAGTATTATCATTCATTATCAACCTGCATGTGATTATTCTATTTAGTAACCTTCCCTAGGTTACAACAAGTTCAATACTCTTTTTTTTGTTTCTAACAAAATTTTTCTGTTTCTTAATACTATGCTTAGCTTTTAGAAGGGATCTTTGGATATCCCAATGCACCTTTGGGTTTCACTCCCACATATACCTCCCACATAATATCAAGACATTAAAGGTAATAGTATCTTCATCTGGCTAATGTCTTATAATTATATGTGAGGTATTTCAGTATATTGACAATTCCAGTCCTCAGAAATTCTGATGGAAAAATATAATATTTTTCTAAAAAATTTGTTAGAGAAAAAATATTCAGTGTTAAAACTTAATTATTTTTCTCTTTTGTGGGTTATGTCCCAGGTAACTGAAGCAGATGTACAGGCACAACGATACTGCTAGCGGCGATCTCATTACATATTACTACGTGCATGCATTCATAAAATGTAAATCTTTTTGTAAAGTAAGTAAATAGAAAGAGAATTGGTTTTGGCATTAAGAAAATCAACTGACCTTTTTGTGTAAACAGTAACGGGAAGAGAGAGTAGTTTCCAACAGTCGACATTATCAGGAAGAGACCAGCATCACGTTTACTTTCTAGTACCAACAAGCTGAAATAAAAACAAAAGATTTGGTCCAGACATACATTAACTTTTAGTTAATCAATAAATAACATTTTGTACCATTTCTTTTTGGTGCATGTGCGTATGTGTAAAACTGAAAGCTTAGGAAATATAAGGTCACTTTTTCTTGAAACATTTAGACATTTTATAGGAATAAAATTTGCTTTCTTTTTTTTTTCTGTAAGGAATTTTCTCCCCCTCACCAGTGCTATTAGACTCCCCTGAGAATGACAGGGCCACAGCTTTACTACACAAGGTGCTGCTTCTATGTACCATAGATAATGCATGTCACTTGCTTTATAAACTAAATATGGTTGCTACCTCAGTATGGAATAATGACTAGCAAGCTATTCTTGTAAAGCATCAATAGTGAGATTGCTTTTCACTGGGTGACCAAATGTGCGGCCATGTGCCAGACTTAGGTAAAAAAACATTTAAAAATTTTTTTTTTAAAAACAGATAATGAGATAAAGTGATAAAAGCTTTTTATAGACAATGCATTTCACCTTCATTTGATAGGTGTCTTCAGGTCAGAATAAAAGACAAACCTGGGTGTAAGGAAAATGCATTGGGATTTTTGAGGAAAGGGTGATCAATAACCTTATCAAATTCAATGACCAGAAAGTGTTTTTTTTTCTTTGTTTTTGAATATGTGTGTGTATGTGTGGTACTGAAACTGAAAATCTGCTAGATTTAAAATTTGTCAACAAGTAGACCTGTTTTTTTTGCTATTAGTTTAGATAATGCATGGTGCTACTAGTGCTTTTGTGATGATAGGTTGTGTTTTTGTGGACTTGCTCACCCCATTCACTTCAGTTCTACTGCTAGACTGGTTGCCAACCAAGGCTAGAGATCTGTCCAGCTATTCAATGTATAGCTGGAGGGAAGAAGAGCCGGATTTAGACATTTCTCAAGTGATGGATTCATACTTTTCCCTTTTAAACTTGTATGAAATTGAATACAATGAACTTGGGTAAAATTTGAACCTGGCAAGCCAATTCCACTTTCTGTGGATGACCATCTTGCTACATACACAGCCAATAAAGAATTTAATTAGCATAATTAATTTCCCCCTAGCTGAAAATTAATGTAGTGGCTGGAATAGTGTTCCTGTCATGTTTATGAGCTAATGGAGAAATGATAACATTTAGTCACATTGCAAATATCAACTTTATACCTTCTGGAGTTAAAAATTACCTGATATTGAATTAAGTGAAAAGGTAATGTTTATTGTTTAATGTTTATATATTTATATATATATATATATATATATATATATATATATATTTTTCGATAAATGTGCAATCAATTTACAAATTCATTACAATATGGTGATAAGCAAATATTTTAAAAAAATAAGAACTAATGCAGCAGAAATTTATAGAAACAAGGATCTTTTCATTCATAACAAGTTCGGGGGTTTTTGTATATTATTTGAATTGTTTGCGACGATGGATTTCTCGCCAATTAAATCATTAACCTTTGCATTTGTTTTGTATGAATAATTCATGAATTTGTAAATTGATTGCACGCTTATATAAATTAAAATAACTGATCCAAGTGCGACTTTTGGATAATAAGTATACATTACTGTAATTATTGAACAATATAGTTCATGCCACTTTGACAGAAAATTTACCAGTAAAAAAAAAAAAAAATTCGCTTATCACCATATTTGTACAAGAACGCACAACTGTAAAATTTAAAATGAAACTCAGCGCTGCTACTGCACGCTCCAAAAACAATAACTCATTTCCAATAGCATTTTTTGGATACAACAATACATATATTTTCGCTGTCCTCTTATTACTGAGAGAAAAAACAAAAACAACATCTATTCCATACCTGAAGATGTCTGTAGGAACAGACGAAAGCTTGTAGTAAAAATAAGAACTAATGCAGCAGAAATTTATAGAAACAAGGATCTTTTCATTCATAACAGGTTCGGGGTTTTTGTATATTATTTGAATTGTTTGCGACGATGGATTTCGCCAATTAAATCATTAACCTTTGCATTTGTTTTTGTATGAATAATTCATGAATATATATATATATATATATATATATATATATATATATATATATAACACTTCATTAAACAATGGATAAAAACAAAACAAAAAAACAAATATTAAATGAGGGGTAGTAAAAATCTTAAAGCAATATTCATACAAATTCCTTGAGACTTTTTGAAATGGTTTCTCATATTAGATGTAGGTAGAAAGTTGAGAATGGTAGCTTTATGAATGTAAGGAAATGGTTGACATTACCTGAATGGAATCAAAATCATGAGGACAGCTTTTTCATGGACATGCCAACCAAATAAGAATGATCCAAAGGCACAAAGGATGATTCCTTGGAGAAAACTCTGGATTCCTTGGGGATTACTCCAGATTTTCATCAAAATTGGCTGAAAAAGATAAACAGTGACAATATAACATTATTATTATTTTTTTTTTTTTTTATATGTTTGACTCTTACATTTTGTAAACAGAACTAGACTTGATAACTATTATTCACCCAACACCATGGAATTATCTGTAGCCAAGATGTCTCAGGGATTTTGTGTTTGAATGTCTTTCCACTTTTTCAAATAAAAAGCCCAAGGGTAAAACTATTCTTAGGTGATGCATTTCATCCTCTAAGGGACTTATATTTTTTTTATATCTGTTTTACTAAATGCGTCGTCTAAGAATAGATTTTCCTTTTATCATTTTATCAATTTTGTTCCTTTACAGATACACTCAATCTGAAAATAAGTTTTATATATATATATATTTGGTTGGATAGATGTGAGTTTGTGACCCTGGGTTTCACGCTTTAGCGATCGTCAGACAAACTAATAAGTACCGCGTATATAATATATAAATAATTATACATATACATATTTGTTTATATTTATATACACTTTTTTCACATATATATATATATATATATATATATATATATATATATATATAAATATAATGAAATGAATTAAGTCTGTCAATTATTTAATATATTTTCTGTTTATACATTATTTTTATAGATACAATTTATTTAATTAAATGCTCCGTTTTGAATTAAACAGTATTAATTACTTTTACCGGCCTGAATGTTTGAGAAATTTGGTAGAAAATATGCGTTCTTCAACAAAAATCAAACCTGTATTCCTATACGAAAACTGTCATTTGACCTGACATAATGTACCATTCAGCTACAGAGAAACGTCTCTAGCTGAATGTATCTATAAAAATAACATACATACAATATATATATATATATATATATATATGTATGTATATGTAAATAAATAATGGAAGTAATGATGATATGTTCAATGTCAACACCTATGAAATTTCCACAGGTCCAGCTGTTGTTACCAGTAGTAGTAGTAGTAGTAGTAGTATAGAAGGAGTAGTAGTAGTATAAAAGCTAAAATAGAAAGTTCAGACTGTTTTTCCCAGTCTTACAATTTAATTTTATTCCCAATGAATATCTAACTATTATTATTTGTTTAAATGAAATTTTTGAATGACTGTTAACCTATAAATGGCTACCATCCCCAGAAATGGGACAGTGGGCATTAATGGATTATAGATAGAAACCTGTAATTAATACTGGATTTTTATTTTAATTTTTATAATACCGGATTTTATGGCAGATATTAATGGGTTAATATAAGTGGGAGAAAGTCCTTAACATAAAAGTGCCAGGAAATACATAGGCATATTGTCCAGTCAGCTTTTGAGTATCTGTATTTATATTTCTAAAACTTTGACCTACCCATCTATATTTTTGATTATATTTAGGTAATGTAATTATTTACACTATTTACATTCTTTGGACCCCTTTATTCAGTTCATGTGGGGAGTTAGAACAATCTAAACCTGTAGACTAAATAAAGGGTTCAGTTTGAAATTTTAACAAATATGACCTGGAGAAGGCTGGAATGTACAACAGTCAAAACATCAGGAATATGGTAGCAAATATGAGGACCACGGTCTGAACAATGTAAATAGTGTAAATACATTTAGGTAGGATGAAAATATATATAAGTAAAAATATTCAATACTTATCAAAAGTCAACACAGTTTTTTGTAATATTTGAATCTCTCACCGGGACCTTTGATGATAATACCAATTCAAATATTACAAAACATTGTGTTGACATTTGATAAGTATTGAAAGTTTTTATTTATATTTTAATAATAATTATTGCTTTAGTCTTATGTATACTTTGTTGGCAGAGGTTCTGTAAAATTGGATACATGTTGAATTGAACAATTTGACACATACTATATGCTAGTATTAGTAGATAGCATTTTTTTTTTATTATGGAAATAAAAAGGAACCATAACATCAGAATTTTAAATTTCTAGGGGATATAATGAGGAAAGAGGGCTTGGAAAATCTGATACTCACAGGACAGGTTGATGGCAAGAAAGATAGACGAAAACAATGCATGACCTATTTAGTGAGCTTGAGTAAATGGATGGTGGAACAGGGTTTAAGAGAAATAAGAAAAAGACTAAATTTATCAAGAGCTATGAAGGACAGGAAATTGTGGAGAGCTATGATTGCATATGTCTGATATGGATTATATATCTCCAAATGTAAAAGAATGAAGAGTAAAATTTCAGTGTTCAAAACATTAGAGGGCTCAATACAAAAGTAGAGCAATAAATATTTATTTATTATGCACTGTTACATTTGAACATGTATGTATCCACTACAAAACTGTACACCTTGTTTCAACATTAAAAATTTTTTTTTTTTAATGTTTCATCAGGTAGGAATTGCTCGATACAGTAAGTAGAGCAGACCTAGTTAAACCTAGAGAGCCAGACAAACCTACCAAGGTTTCACCTAAGTGGATTGTCAGGGAAGTCTGGCTAAAAAGGTAAAAAA